TTACAACACAATAATATGGGGAGGGGGATACAAATGTTCAAATGGGGATTATTTAGACAAGAAATTAAACCTAGCTATTACATCATTTTCTTTGAATATTTACAAGATAAATAATTGTATAATTAAATGGAAATGAAATAAATATGCAAAATATAAAAAGAATTTTTATGTGTATGAACAAAAGTATTATTTATGTGGAAAAAAGAGAAATAAAAAGGTATTATTTTTGAGTATTTCCATATTTAGGGCAAAACCCTAATTTTAATTAAAAGGGTATTAATTATTTAATATATATAATATTTTCTATTTATATACAAAGAATAAAAGAAAAATGAAGTATATTTGTAAAAATGTATTTTTTAGCATTAAATATTAAAAAATAAAATATGTACATTTTTTGGTATTTATATCCTAAGTGTATTAATATATACCTATTTATTTATATTATTTACAAAATATGTATTATATATATTAATTAATAATATTTAATATTTAAATAAAAAAAGTATTTTTTCTATAAAATATTTTCAGGAAGTAAAAATAAGATAAAAGTGTATAAAATATATTTGTGCTATTTTAGTATTTTAAACAAAAAAAGTATATATTTATTTATTTATGTACAAACTAAAAGAAAAAATCAAATAAATACCTAATAAATTCAAAAATAATGAGAAAAAATATTTTTATATTTTTAATATGCTGGGAAAAAATAAATGAGTCAATTAAAAAAAGAAAAAGTCAAAAAACATTAAAAATAAAGCAAATGGGCTCAGGGGGTTCAGAACAAATTATAGGGTGCAAAAAGGAAAGTCAACATAAGCCCAGCCCATGAAGACCTTTCTTCAACCTCTGAACAACAATATTCAAAAAAACGCGCGCCCTGTTCTTCTATCCCAACATCCTGATTCTTTGATCTTTTGCACAAACTTTCAACACAAAAAATGTTAAGCATGGAACCACGATTCCAAATATATAAAGAACATCTCCTAACTCTCTGAAATGAGAGAGAATTTTAACAATCCCAAATCCTAACCTAAGTTTTCTGCCATTTTCAAACCTTAAATTCTCACAGCTCAAGCAAAAGAAATGAAAAGTAAAAGCATGTACAGGTTCAGTGGCATGAGTAGAACATTGCTTATTCACAAACTTAGAGCTAATGATGCCTAATGAGAGAGATAGAAGTTCACCAAAGTACCTGTTCAGTTGAAGTTCTATCTGGCAAATGGGGAGCTTTCAGTGCAAGATAATGGTTGGTATAGCTTCCTTGAGGTGTGGTGATGTTGTTCCAATATTTACTTTGCCTTGAGACACCTTGAACTGAGCTGTAGAACTTCAACTGCAAAATGGAAAAATGAAAATGGTGGAACTTGTTAGAGGAGTTACAGGTCGTGTTTCAAGTCATGGTCAGCTTGCATAGATGCTAGGGAATGTGTGTGAACTGGTTTGGGCAAGAGAGCTTGAGGGAAATGGAAGATGGCACTCAAACTGCAGGCCTGGCCCTGTTTTTGCAGTTTGAAGGTGATTCTGAGATTGGGAGTGTATGAGAGATGTTAGGGTCGTGTACTAGCTTGGTTATGATGTCCTGGATCTGTTTGACAAGTTTGCTTAAGTGTTTGTAAGCTGATATGAGAGTTGTGTTACAATATGCCAAGTTACTTACACTTTAAGCAACAAATGCCCAAGTTGTGTTCTAGGTCAGTGGAGGCCCCCTAATGAGCTGCATAATCTCTCCTTGATCAGAGTGTTTTGCTCATAATCTTGTGCCAATTAGATCTCATTTGTACTGCTTGGATTTTCAATTGGACATAAAGTTACCTTTTACAAAAATGGAAGAAATGCTTTATCTATAAATGGATTAATCCTTTAGGCAATGCTTGAACTCATGAAACAAGGCCTTGGCACAAAGGTTTTGCATTGAATTATTGAGTGTCAAAGGGTTTTAGGACCTGTGATTTAGCACAAACTATGCTGACTTGAAAATGGCCTAAGTTATGAACATGTACATGACCAATTCAAAAGTGAGTTTTTGCCATATTGTGAAATTCGATTCTCTCAAGTTATGAGGTTGTTTGAGAAGTTCTTGGACATTTTGGAAATCTTGGAATGTGTACTACAATCCATCTTTGAAATGCAAATTGAAATTCCAAGTGGAAGTGTATGGAAAATGGCCTTGAAGTTGGGTAGAAAACCTTGTCAAAATAGGTTAAAATTTCACTAAGTTAAGAATGGTTTAGTGCCCTTATTCAAAAATTTGTAACTTGAGATACAAGCCTCATTTGGGAAAACTTTGTGAATCAAAGTTGTAGATTATGCAACAATCTACAACTTTCATGTTTTGACTTTTGTTTGAATCCAAATGGATCTTGGTGAGAAAGTGGGGCAAAGTTGGGAAAAAATTAGGGTTTTTCATAACTTAGAAAAATTCTAAGTTATGAAAAATTCTCATTTCTAACCCTAATTTGCATTTTGTGATTTCTTGGTGAACAAGTTTCATGATTTGGCATGTTTTGATGAAAAATGAATCTTGACTCTTGATTTTGACCAAAAAGTCAAAGTTTGACTTTTCAGTATACAGTCAAAAATTGATCAATTGACTGGGAAATTCAACTGTCAATCTTGTGTACTTGGGATCTTTTGAACTTGTTGAGCATGTAAAGATAATTCCATGGGGTCCTTGAGTCCATATGTGAGCTTGGTTTGCCATTGGCTAGGTCAAACAGTCAAAAATTGCCTTTGTGCAGTCAAAACCCTAAAAATGACCATTTTGCCCTTTTGGTGATCTGATCAAATTTCTTGAGGAATTGTGATCCAAACTTGATCAAATGGTCCATGTGAGTTTATAATGTTGATGTGGGTCAATTTTCATGAGACTTGACTGTCAATTGGTCACAGTTGACTTTTTCTCCAATACAGCTGATTTCTAGGTCAACTGTCCAATTGACTGGGCAAAACTTGGAATCAAGACTTGAAACTTGATATGGATAAACTTGGGAGTTCAACATGAAGCATGAAAGTAATTTTAGGCATTTTAGGTCAAAATATCCTTGTGCAATCACAAACCCTAATTTGGGTCAACAGTGCAAGGAGAAGTCTTGAGCAGAGGAAATGGGAGGGCAAATTTTGGGGTACAACACTTGGGATGGTTGGAATGCGGATCGCGCAAGACGGCTATTCATCTTCCTGAGCACGTCATGCGTTAGTTTGGGTACATGCAATACATTCTCAAGTATCCTTCTGATCATGCTCTTCCCCTGGTGAAATGCAGAGATATGGATGCATTGTTTAATGATTATGTTAATCATCTGGTGCCGGATAAGGCCCGAAGTACCTTAGCACCTAACGACTGGAGCTACATGGGAGGTTACATTCGATGGTTTTTCAGTGTCTCATCCATATATGGTATATGATGCTCTAGGAAATCCACCTAGGCTAGCTCATCAGAAGATTCTAAAGGAGGAGCAGGCTAGGACCGATCATGCTCATGATGTGTTGCCTAGGTGTCCTCTTATCGTGGAGATTGGACAGACAAGTATTGATGAAGGACTGTTTCCTGATGGCTCTTAAGTTAGATGTGTTTTAGATTCCATCACGGAGATACTCGTGAGGCTCTGCAATATAGGAGGCAGTGGAGAAATGTCGAGAGGGTCACGGGCTGACTCAGAGTCCACCATACACAATAGTCTTCACTTTTTTATATCTTGTATTGTATTTTGGTTTGGATGATATTTTGGTTATCAGCTTTGAGTTGTATTTAGATAATATTTTGATTAGCGACTTTATCGACTTCAGATACATTTTATAGTATTGACTAATATTGATAATTAATATTTAATTTAATGGTGTATCTTTTCAACAGTAACGTTTATAACGAGAAAGATATTTGGATCTCCATTAAATTTCCTTTTTCGTTTTTAATAAATTTTTAATCAATTGAACTTATTAGAAATTCTTGCTATCAGATTCTTTCTCTCACCACCAATTAATTAAAATTTTATTGATTCCAAACTTATGATTAATTCCAAGCTTATGCTTAGTTATACAATACTAAACAAATCATATTAACATCTTTGACTTTAACTTTTTTTTAATAATATGAATATTCAAAATATTAATTACCAATGCAAAGGAAACAAACAATTTGCTCTCAATACAAAATGATTCATTGGTACTATTGTTAGAATGCAAAGTTATAGAAACAGGATCAGTTTTCAAAAGGCATGAATCATAAACAACACCAACAAGTCTTTGAGAATGTTGATATACTTAAAATCAATCAAAACAGTAACGTTAGAATATTTCTTAAAAAAACAACTAAAGATGAAGAGGATGCGCCAATCATTAAATCACCTGAACCTTTCTTCTCAAACTTATACTTAACTCTAAAGTTTTGTTGGAGAGTTTGGAGAGGAAGGGAAGAGAAGACTTCCGAAAACAATTTTTTAACAGCCATATTTGATCACTGGTAAGGTGAAAGGTAAACTTGATAAGGTTATTATTTAAAGAGAAGGAAAGAACGGCATGCAACTAACCGCTCACCATTCCCCTACTCTCCTTATAATCATCAAGAGTCCATTGATATTGTGATGGATTCAACCCACACCAGTGTGCTAACTGGTCATCCAAACTTGAGTTAGCTTCTAAAAAAAAACCTGAATTAAAGACTTAAATTCTTCTATTAACATAAAAAAAGAAGGCAATGTCTGCTTACTCACATTCTACAATTATGTCTATTTTTTTTGCTCTCCAATTGCACACTTCTTTTTTGTTAGAAATTCAAGCATTGCTCTAAAATCCCATAAATCCATAATACGTGAGGATATATAACATTAATCATATTCTCCAACCACAAAAACCATAAAATTAATTATTCTATTATGTCAATTACTTATCAAGTTTAAATTTTTTAGGGATATAGGTCAAAATTGTGACCAACAACAAAAAAGGTTCCAACTTACTGAGTAAGTATAACAAGATGAATAAACATGATATGGCTGGTTTATTCAGTTACAACAAAATGTGTTTTGACAACCTACCCAAGCACCAGAAGATGCTAGCATCCTACCCTTGATATAGCTTTAGTAGCATAGATGCTTCATCCTCAAACCGTTTCACATACCTTTGCATGAACAACTCGTCGGACAGATAAAATGGTGTTACTAAGCTAGCATTATTCTTCATCAAACCATTGGAAAGAAGATACCTGACAACAGAAGCCCTTGGAATAAACCTTTTCTCTATACTAAATCCAAAAAGATCCGGTGCTGCCAGTAGCAGTGAAGGATCCCAACCAAGCTCTTTGACCCAAAACCACATCACCGCATTAAGTTTCTCCGGCGACCGTAGCATAAAGTTAGGCCGTTTTTTAACGGCATAAAAAATCACATCTTGAGAACAACCCCAACTCTTCAAGGCATCAACTTTAGCATCCCATTGTGATTTAGAGATAGCCCTTTTGACAAGTAATGCAACATAAAAATTGTACTTGGAAGGATCAAACCCTAATTCCTTAATCTCCTCCATAGCCTTTCAAATCAGTAGAACATGTTATAGAAGGTCTAGAACAAAGCAAACAGTAAATGCTTGAAGGAGTGACACCTGAATCGAGTAATAACTGAAGATTTGGTTTCATTTAGATACCACAAATGAAAGATGGACAAAGATTGATTGAAGTAATAACGTTTTGATCAGTGGGACAGAAACTTCTTACCAATTCAAAAGATGGAATAATGCGTTTCAGGCTTACACAGAGGAAACGAGAGCTTCTGGTGACAGCGGCGACTATGTCAGAAGGGGAAGCACATTTGGAGGCTCCTAGAATAGAACTCACATCTAGCATTACTATCATACTCCGGTGGAAGTTTTGCAGGAATAGGACCCAAAACACAGAACTTAACCAACTGAAATCCAAACTAGCGAGGAAGTAACTAAGCATACATCATCGAAATTAGGTCAAATTGCTTCTCAGGCTTCTTCTGCTCTATGCTGATAAGCCTTGTCCCTTTGAGTCATTTGGGGGACTAAAACTGTCTGCTGACGAGAACACCCAAGAATCCAAGGTTATGGAGAGATCGACGAAGTACCCCATAACTTATAGGAGGTCCCAAAGGATTAGGAGGAATAACAGGTTCTGTTGTGGCAACATGTACCCTTCTCAGTATTGTCTTCAGAATTTCCATAACCAGGATCACCTAAGTCTTTAACTAATTGTTTTCTCCTTTTAAGAGTTCCTGCCACGGGCCATAGCTTGCAGGTCTACCATAAACAACCCCATTTAAACCTTCACCTCAGCCAGTTCCCCATGAAGTTGTTCCATAACTGATTTCTTGAGCATGGAGCAGTGAAAAGTCAGTTTTGTAGCTCTGAAGTAAATACCAAGTCTGAATAAGAATCTCTAACTCTGAGTACCTATTATGGATGCATGTATGCATGAAATACATGTGTGAATGCAATTCCATATTCAATCACTTCCAAGGAATCCACATGCTAAGATTTTAAGCAAGAGATGGAAATTCTCAACACAAGGCTCCAAAATATGATTATTTGGAAATGGAAGACATTTATGTTAAAATATTGTTAATAATATCATGTATGCAAAGTATCTGGGATCAATGTTCCATCAATTCTGATGATTGTTATGTTGTTCTGAACAATCTGAATATCACAAGATCAAAGGTCCGAAACCATATCAGAACACCAAGGAACCAAGTACCATGAAGATCAACACTTATACCTGTAAGAATAATTCCCACCCCATTTCACATGTAAATTCTGGCTTGGATATGGTCAAAAGGTCCAAAGAGTCGTGAGTCCACGTGGAAACTTATCATCATTGCAACAAACATGCACAATGATAGTAATCTCCAAATGAACCTCGTCTGCATGTGGCTCTCATGATCGCGGTAGTAGGGAATGGACCTAGTAGGTGTCATGACTATCCACTCTAGTCCTATGTGTTCCTAAGTGTTTCTCTCTGGCCTGGGTATTGGGTCTTTTACCTCATAGTAACAACACAACACATATACAGTATAATACAACCAATATCCAGATGCAATGCATACAAACATATAAAGCAAATGAAGCAAAAATAAATAAACACCCAATGAATAGAAACAACCAAGATCTAGGACTGATTCACATAGGTAATATTTATCCTTAGTGAAGTCGCCAACTGAAGCAACTAGAAAAATAATGAATAATGTAGTCGCCATCGAATATTTATTTATCCCAAGGAAGGTAAAGGAAAACATCAAAGAAAACCTATAAAGGAAAAGATCAAGGTCTCACGACCAAGAGAAGTGTAAGAGAGTCGATTATGTAAGGGGAATGTATTAGCACCCCTCACGTCCGTTATACTCAACGGGATCCACTCTTGTTGTTCTAATTTTATATCTAAAGCTTACAAGCTAAGGGAATGCATGAATGTGTTGTTAATAAACAAAAATAAAGTTTTTATTATTGCGCTCGCCTCGGTTTCGAAACCTCATACCTACGTATCCCCGTCGTGCAATAGAGAATCAGAGCACTGTAGTTCTTCTAAAAAGGAATTGCTCTGTTTGTGTTTTTTAACTGGACGATTTTACATTCAGATTCTAGCATTTTATATTTGTCGCTCAACCTTTGGAGACTTATGCGTCGTATTGCGCAGAATGGAAATAAGATGTCCTTTTCATGAATAGATTTTCAAAAGAAAAGCCTAAAGGCAAAAGAGATTTGATTGGTTGGGTATTTTTTTACCTTGAAAAGGATTTGGTGATTTGAACCACATTAAAGACTATGACTGAGAGGAAGCACAAGGTTAGGAATGTACCGCCTTATACTTCTCCCGATACTTAAGGCTCATGACACATGGTTCGCCTCTTTATTGGTTATGTGTTTTTGAGATTTGATAAGAAAAATAAATTTTAGTTTTAAATGCAATGCAAAAGGGTAACAAAATCTAAGGGGAAAATCAAATTCTAATATTGTCATTTACAATGATTCTAGAGTTAAGATATCAAAGGGAAAGCTACCTAAGATTTAACATACATCATAGATCTAAGGGCAAGGATTGGGGGAATCTACCTAATGTTGTCATGCTTAGTTTGAATCCTAAAGTCTATGTAGTTCACACCTTGAACAAGATGGAATCAAACTCCTAAAGGTACATGGTATCACACAAAGCAAGCAAACACCACAAAGAAAACAAAAGGAATGAAGTCGTGATTTCAGCCAAAGTGAAAAACTGAATGACTCATCGTTCACCGTAAAGAAAACAAAAGGAACAAAGTCGTAATTTCAATCAAAGTGCTAGACGGAATGACTCATCGTTCACCACAAAGAAAACAAAAGGAACAAAGTCGTGATTTCAGCCAAAGTGCAAGAGTGAATGACTCATCGTTCACCACAAAGCAAACAAGTGAAAAAGAAACACTACCTACTTCGTGGTAGGACTTCAGAAACATTGCCTACTTCAAGGTATGACTTCAGAATGATGCGTGAAAGAGTGATAAAATTGAGATTCAAGTGGTACCTAATGTAGAAAGTTTCGTTACCTCTTTAACACACGCAAAAATGCTAAAGAGCACTTGCAGAAGCTTCACCAACAATCAACCAAATTAATACTCAAGCGCATAAAAGTTGCGTCAACAATCTATCACTAAATCATGACAAAAGTACCAACCAAATGATAACCATCAAATACGAAAGTATCAACCCTAAAATGGATCACAAATGCCTAACAAGGCAACCAACCTCGTATTCAGAGATCACACACGCAAATATACCCAGCATTATTTGTATTGAAAATTGCAAATCAAAATAATAGCCAACAATTATGTATAAAATTAACTACAAATGATTAAGGAAAATAATAGGAAAAACCTAATTAATTCCTAAAAATAATCCTAAAGAACTCTAATACTTTCTACTGTTTTTATTGCATTTTTCAAGTCAAAATTCTAAAAAGAAATTAGAAGAGAAATAGGAAAAAATTATTCAAAAAGTAAGATCATGAGGGTGATAAAAGCTGAAATCAGGGACGATGGTAAAAGAAAAATGCTAATCCCACATGAGACTAGTCCATCATTGAGTTTTTGTTCACAAACCAAAAGGCATACAAAAAAAATGGTAATTGGCCTTAGGAGAGTGAGATTCAGCCCAGTGAATTCAGCATAGTCCAATAACACACAACATTTATTCAATTCAGATTTATTTGTCATTTTTATTATTTACTTCTTTGAATTGAAAAATTAAACAAAAAAAAAAAGAAGAAGAGAAAAACCTGTTGTGAGAAACAAATTAGGGTTCAAGTTATTGTGCCCTTTCAAATTCACGAGAAACACAAGCTCTCCCCCCTCCTTCTTCTCAACCTGAATGGCGCCTTCTTCTCCACCAATCTCCGATGTTAAACAACTTCCCTTCACCTCTCATCATCTCCCTTGATTCCACTTCTATTTCATCCCTCCTCCTCACTCTGTATCTCTTTATCTCGTCTCTCTATCAACACATAGCGCACCTCCGCCTCTCATATCAACACGATGGAAACTTCTTCATCTCACTCTTTCCATTCACTCATCTCCGCACAAACATCACCTTCACGCTTACGTCTCACTTCATCTTCCTCTTACTCATCACCGATTCAACCTTATCCCTCTCGCATCTAACCAAGCTGTTAAACCTAAATTTAAGAAGAAAAAGCAAACTACAACGTGTACTGCGCCACAGATTCATGACTAGCTTCAGAAAATTTGGAAAACAGATGGAGAAAATCGAAGTGTGAGTCTTACCTACCGGAGAGAAATTCGGTGTTTCTTCAATTCAGGAACAATTTCGTTTACATTTTCGATTACTCCGCATTTCTTCTTCTTCCACGTTCTTCTTCTTCTGCGGTCTTCTTCTGTTTCTTATATTTTTTGTTGCGAGCAAGTTATGATGTTATCCTTGCGATGCAGTTTCTATTATAGTTGATGAAGATGTTGTGAAGATGATGAAGGAGCGGCTGCAATGTTGAAGAATCGTTGATGACGATGATGAATCTTGCGATTTTCAGATTGATGATGATTGTTGCACAGAGATGATGAAGATTGAAGCAGAGAGATGAGAGAGTACATAAAGAGTTTTTGAGCTTTTTGCAGTGATTCTTCTGAGGTGTGAAGAATGAATCTGATTCAAGGTGAGTTTTGAGTTTATATTTTGTTAAATCTGAGATAATTAGTTAGAAATGAATAAATATGAGTTGTTGCTTTCAAGAGTTGGTTAGAAGATTGGATGCTCGAGATTGAATGTTGATAATAGTTGTTATGAGTTGAATCATGGTTGATGATTGTGCAGGGCTATTTGTTTTAGTCTTGGATAGCAGGGCACAGATTTATTAGTTGTAGGTTTCAATATGGTGCTGGTTTGTTAAAACAAGTTTGGAAAGCTTGAAGGGTCTAGTGGGTATCATTGAGGACGAATATCTTGGAATTTAGGGTTCGAAAAATTAAGATGGAATATGTTTCTCGTACTTGTGTAATTTTTCGATGTAAATGATAAAGTTGTAATGGAATTTGAATTTGATCATGTTTTGATTTGTTATTTGGATCTTGAATATGTATTTTGTAATGTTTTCTTGGCTATCTTATAAATGAACATGAACGTATTATGCATGGA